ACTCGTGGGCCCCAACCAAGCCCTCTCAGGGGAGGAGAAGTTATCTATGAGCCTTTCCATCCTCCATCCTGGTCTCCTGAGGCTCTTGCTGTACAATCAGATCCTCAGGATCTAAGCAGATCTGGGCCTTATTTCCAACAGGCTTCTGTGCCCTATGCTCCTCCCCCTCCCTCCAGGCTTCGAACCTCTCCTCAATCTAGGCCTGAAGCCACCTTCACTCCCACAGCAGTGGGCCTTTGGCCTTCTGCCTCTACCTTTGAGCATCGACCAAGGGATATCCAAGATGTTGTCTCATTAGTCATTAGGCAGGGATTGGCTGAAGGCTTCAAGCAAATTCTTCAACCTCTGGAAAGGGTTCAGTCCCTTCTCCCTTCTCAATCTATAAGTTCCTTGCCTCATCATCCTGATTTACACAGGCCCCAGGACCTCAGGGTCCATTCTTCTCTACCAGAATGGGAGGAGGTTGATGAGGAAGGAAGGCCTTCACCATCTGAACACAGTTACTCTTCTCATTCAGAGTGTGAAGCGGGTGAGATTTTTGACCAAAATCTTTCAGAGGAAGAGGATTCTCGCCCAGAGCAGACATCCTCTGTATTGGTCTTCAAACCTACTCTCTTCAGGCCATTACTCAGCAAGGCCTTGGTCACTGCCAAGCTGTTGCCAGAGGAAGTGGCTCCAGAACCACAAGGAAATCCCTCTAGCCAAGGAGATTCGCTCTTCTCCAAGCCTGTAGTGCATGCAGAGATCTTACCTTCTCCCATTTTGTTCCTGGACATGGTCAAGGAACCAGTGTGCTTCTCCTTCGGCAGGTCCTCGCCCATCTTCTCTGGATAAGCATTTCTACAATGTCAGCACAGCTCTGGACAATGCCCTGGCAGTGCCTTTTGTTGACATTCTGGTTCTGGCCTCATTCTCATCTTCTGGCACTCCCACGGAGTCAGAAGATATCCTGAAACCGGATGACAAACGCTCTGAACAGACCCTCAAGCGCAATCACCAGGCCTCTGCTTGGGCTGTTCGGGCTTCAACAGCAGCATCCTTTTTCACGAGGGCATCCATACGGTGGCTGCACCAACTCCAGAATAGATTGCCTGCTTCTGACCTTCGGTCTCACCAAGACCTTAATAAGATTATTGCAGCGGCAGAATTCACTGCAGATGCCACTCTCAATTCCGCCAAATTTGCATCCAAGGCCATGGCATCTTCTGTAGCAGCAAGAAGACTTTTATGGCTCCGAAATTGGCAGGCAGAGTCACGCCGAAAATGGAAGCTGGCTTCAGTTCCATTCGCAAGCTTTTTGGCGATGCTCTGGAACCTTATCTCATCGAAACCAGAGATAAACATAAAATTCTCTCTTCCTCTGGGAAGAAAGCCGACTATCGCCCTGCTCCTTATCGCCCTCCTGCCTTCCGAGCGGAGACCTCATCTTGCTTCCTCCGCTCTCACAGGCTGTACTCCCAACACCAAGACCAACAGGTGGAAGCATCTGGTAGGCAACAACCTTCTACTGGTAAACAGCCCTTTCGGGGGGGAGGGGATCGTTCCTTCCGTCGCTCTAAGTAATCCCTCGTTCTCACCCATCAGAGGTCGCCTAGCCTTCTTTGCCTCCAAATGGGAGGAGTGAACGACGGACGCCTGGGTGCTCAGCACTATTAGGTCAGGGTTACAATTGGACTTCCTAACGCCGCCCCCCCAAAAATTTTTGATCTGTCCTGTCTCTCAGGACATTTTCAGGCAAACCCTCATGAATCAGGCCATTCAGCACCTTCTTGAAATCAGGGCTATTCAACCTGTTCCCCCCCCTCAATGGGGACATGGACTTTACTCTGGCCTTTTCATCGTTCCCAAAGCTCCAGGGGGGTGGCGAGCCATCCTTGATCTAAAATTTCTCAACCAATTTGTAAAATACAGGCGATTTAAAATGCAGACTCTGCATTCTATTTTAGAGAGCGTTCGGGAGGGTGACCTCCTTTCTTCCATTGATCTCACTGAGGCTTACCTCAACATTCCACTTTGGCCTCATTATCACCAGTTTCTCCGTTTCTGTTATCAGAATACCCATTACCAGTATCAAGCACTTCCCTTCGGCCTCTCATCGGCTCCAAGGGTCTTCACAAAGGTTCTGGCATCATTGATGGCATCTCTGCGTTCTATTCCAGTGAGGATCCAATGCTACTTGGACGACATTTTGATTCTATCCCATCCTTGCGGCCCATCAGGATCTGCAAATTACCCTGTCATGTCTCCAGAGCCACTGATTTTTCATCAGCACCAAAAAGAGCCAGCTCTCTCCCACAACCAAATTGCAACACTTGGGAGCAGTCATCGATACCATGTCGTGCCAGGTTTTCCTGTCCCCAGCTCGTGGAAAGAGCCTTGCAGAGATCATCAGCCAGATCCAGCAACATCAAATTGTCCCTCTGTCGCTGCTGTCCAAACTTCTGGGGAAGATGGTCTCCTGTATTGGCATCGTCCCGTGGGCTTGGCTCCACTCTCAACCCCTCCAATGGTTCCTGCTCCCCAGCAATGAGCAGGAACCAGCCACTCATCCATCAAGGTCCCACTCCTGCCACAAATCCGGAGATCTCTCAATTGGTGGCATTCCCCATCAATCTGGAGGGGACTCCTGTTCAGGGACCCAGACAGGGTAGTGATAACCACTGATGCCAGCCTCCTGGGTTGGGGTTCCCATATGCAGGGCCAGATAGCTCAGGGCGTTTGGTCCAGATCAGAGCAGACCCTTCCCATAAATTGGCTAGAGCTCAGAGCCATTTTTCTGGCTCTCAAGCATTTCAGGCAATCAGTGACTGGCTCTCATGTTCTAGTCCTTATGGACAACATGGCCGCAAAGGCTCATGTCAACCGGCAAGGGGGGACGACATCCAAAGCCCTCATGAGAGGGGCTCTACGGTTGGGGTTATAGGCAGAGAAACACCTGTTGTCGATCTCGGCGGACCACATCTCCGGGGTCGACAACTCCCAGGCCGACTGGCTTAGCAGGAGCCTAGTCAACCAGGAAGAATGGTCCATTGCTCCATCTCTATTCAGGGATCTTTCCCTCCGATTCAGAACACCGGAGGTGGATCGCTTCTCCACTCCTCACAACGCCCAAGTCACCAGATTCTTCACCAGGTTTCCTTGCCAGGGAGTGGAGGGGACCAATGCTCTTCGGTGCAGATGGCCCAAGGGTCTCCTCTACGCCTTTCCCCCGCTTCCCATCATTCCGGCAGTAATTCGGAAGATGTTGAAGGACTGTGTGGAGCTCCTCCTCCTGACACCCTATTGGCCAAGGAGGCCCTGGTTTGTGGACCTGGTCAACCTATCGGTGGCTTCTCCTTGGAGGATCCCAGCCCATCTAATCTCCCTTCACTAATCTCCCTCCCTCCACCCAGAGCCCCAGTGTTTCAAGCTGACAGTGTGGCACTTGAGCGGCAGCGGCTAGAGGAGGCTGATCTTCCAGAAAGGGTCATCCTCACTATCCTGGCGTCTCGCAAACCTTCTACAAGGTGCATCTATGATGCCACCTGGAAGGCTCTTTCCCGATGGTGCCTCAGGGAGGGTCTTTCTCCTGCTTCAGCCCAGTTGGCAGAAGTTCTTAGCTTCCTTCAGCATGGGCTGGAGAAAGGTTTGGCCCCCAACACCTTATGCAGGCAGGTTGCGGCCCTCTCCTCGGTCCTTTCATGGGGTTCGCTTCCTTCCTTATCCCATCACACTTCAGTCAGGAGGTCTTTGAAAGGGGCTTCCAACCTGCAGCCTCCAGTGGTTCACAGGTATCCTTCCTGGGACCTTCATATGGTCCTTAATGCCCTTACAAAGCCCCCCTTGAACCCCTTAGAACAGCGTCTCTCCGTTTCCTGACTCTGAAGGTAGTGTTCCTTGTTGCCATCACTTCTGCCAGGAGGGTTTCCGAGCTTGCTGTGCTTTCCATCAGACAGGACCTTTGTTCCTTTCATGATGATAGAGTTGTTCTTCGTCTGGACCCCTCATTCCGAAGGTTAACACCTGGTTTCACAGGTCCCAGGACACTGTTTTGTCTGACTTCTGTCCTCTCCCGCACCATGACTTAGAGCGGCAGTGGCATACGCTAGACGTAAGAAGGGCTCTTAGAATATACATTAAGCGCACTTCCTCCTTCAGGAAGTTGGAAGCCATGTTTGTTTCCTTTTTTCCTTCTCACTTGGGGCACAAGGCCTCTTCTACTATTAGCAGGTGGGTCAGGTCTTGCATTGAGCAGGCCTACAAAGTTGCGGCCCTTCTGCAGACCTCCCCAAGGTCTGACGGCGCACTCTACCAGAAGCGCGGCCACTTCTGCTGCCTGGGCGACCCAAGCATCCTTGGAGGAGATTTGTCGTGCGGCCATGTGGACATCCCCGTCTCCTTTCATCAGACACTACCGTCTGGATGCTGTTGCCTCGGCGACTGCAGCCTTCGGCAGATGGGTGCTTCAACGAGTGGTTCCACAGTCGGTGTGATGAGCTGGATGAGGACCCGCCCATGGACATGCAAGCTTTGGTATGTCCCATCCTGGGCTCTCGATGCAGCATGGAGAATGGGCGTTGGTAGAAGTTACATGAGCGCCCTTTCTATCTATGCTGCAAGAGAGTCCAGCCCCTCCCTTGATTCGTCCAGAGAGGGTAAGACATATTTCTGTATATTTTGGGCTTTCAGAGACACCTTTCAGTCTGTCAAGTATCTTCGCCAAAGCTGGGGTCTCTCCCGGGGGCTGGCTTTTATATCTTAGTACAGACTCAGCTAAATGATGTCATAGGAAGTAGTCAACCCATCCTGGGCTCTCTTGCAGCATCGATAGAAAGGGCGTTCACGGTAACTTCTACCAACGCCCATTCTGTATATATTGGACTAGATGAAACAGTGGTCTGAAAGGTATTTTCTAGTTACATGTACAGTATATGTATGCAGTCATAAATGAACTTTATGTATTATATTTTAAATAACATCAGATTGAATATAACTTTTAAAATGTAATCATGTTCCCCTAGATTAGCTCTAATATCTTTAGAACACTTCCTCCAAGTGAAAATCCTGATTTTGATCCAGAAGAGGATGAGCCTACATTAGAAGCTTCTTGGCCCCATATACAGGTAACTTTTTCAAATTTGTTTGTTGATATTCATGCCAGCTTTTTTAGGATTACAGATATAGATGTAATATCAAACAAAGTCATGTTTTCTATGTCTTGCTGCTGTCATCTGGATTTCTGAAATCCAGCTCAAGTAACCCTGAAATGTTGTACTTTGTCATCTACAATCAGCAAATGCAATATAAACATTTTTATATGCACATGAATCTATTTTCAAACCATTCCATGTGGTCACCTGATTTCCAGCCTCCAGGATTCTAAAATATTATTTTTCGTGTTTGATTTACATTTTGCCACTTCATTCAGTCCTGCCTTCTAAAATGTAGGACCTGATATCAGTAAAGTTACTGGTTTTACTACTACCAAATTAAACCCTGGTTCTTCTTTATCCTCAATGTATAACTTGTTCCTGCCTCGGATGGTATTGATTATGTCCTATGGCCTTCACTAGATTGAATTCTTTGACTTTTAACTTGAATTTAGGATTGATGGGGCAATTGTGAGTAGAAGCAAACTCACCTCTGCACAATAAGACTTAATAAATCTTTTATTGGCTCTTCTAGAAGGTTTTTTTAAAGTGTAATTGCCTTGAGGATGGTTGGCAAGAAGTTTGTGGGATTTATATTGGGTGATCGATGATAATGGTGAGCTTCCTTTGCTTCTTTTTGTTTCTCAACCTCAACTGCTTTAAGATGTATGGACTTCAACCCCAGATTCCCACCCCCTCCCCTAGGCAGAATGCTTTAAAGAAAGCTTTTAAGAAGCCCAATTGCCTGAAAACAACTGCCAACATTATGCATGGAACTACCCCCAATAATTAATCTTTTTAAAAAGCCTTTTTAAAACTCTTTATGAACTCGATTCAAAGATACTGCAGCTGGTTAGTGTTAAACCTGGTGCACTTATAATACAAAAAATAGCATTAGAAAAGGAGGAATTGGCTATGTCATGAATAGGGAGATAATAAAAATACAAAAGGTCATATAGGAGAAAATAACATGGAAGCCCCAGAGCACATCTGATATCTTAACTATTTTCTGCACTAGACTTGAGAGAAGCCTTTCCTGCAGCTTAAAGACTATAGTAGTGGAGTAGGAATATGTGATTTTAAGAGCCTGAACCAGTGGTGGGATTCAAATTTTTTTACTACTGGTTCTGTGGGTGTGGCAGGGGAAGGACACTGTAAAAACTCCAGTCAGAGGTGGTATTTGCTGGTTTTCCGAACTACTCCAAATTTCTGCTACCGGTTCTCCAGAACTGGTCAGAACCTGCTGAATACCACCTCTGGCCTGAACTGTTAATATGCTAGTTAATATGCTAATATTGGCATGCTGAATTTTATTGAAATGGATTTCTGTTATCTTCTAATGGGCTTTATTAATATATGTGAAATGTATTACATGTCAAAATGTTTTTACAATATTTATTTTATTATTTCATAGCTGGTGTACGAATTTTTACTAAGGTTTTTAGAAAGTCCTGATTTCCAACCTAGCATTGCAAAACGTCATATTGACCAGAAATTTGTACAGCAGGTAAATATTCATCTGAAATATATAGCTTAGATTATTTTTTAGCTTAGATTATTTTTTAATGTAAATGTTTCTTTTATGGATGGAAGATTAATTTTGTTTCACAGAAATATTTTTAGACAAGCTTATTTATATTTATATACTATAAAAGGGGAAGAAATGACATTTTGACAATACTCCCTTTGAGTTGTGGCGGTTATGTATCTTCCTTCCCATACTGCTGCAAAGTATATAGAATTATAGAGTTGGAAGCTTGGAGGTCTTCTAGTCCAACCCCCGCTGCCCATACCACCCCACTCCCATAGTTGGAGAATGTGCACATATTTCCCTTCTAACTACTGTTGAAGAATAAGTTCCAGCACAGTTGCAGCACCGTTTGGTGTGTTTCCAAAGGAACACATGAAAATTGTCAGCTAGAGTGCCCCCATGAGTAGTTTCTCTCAAATCAGAGATCAGAGTTCAAGTCAGCATTCTTTATATTGTTAAATAGAGGGAGAAATAGAACAGTAATCTGTGAGAAGTGTAAGTTTGCAACTGTTGAACTGTAACTGTGTATTACATTGAAATGATTTTTTTAAATTATGGCAAAGATAATTGTATAACACTATCTACATATCCTATGTAAACATTATGAATGTATGGAAATGCAATATTACATAATATTAGCTCTATTCCTTATTTTTAAGGTGAGGCAATATACATTACATTTATTAGCAATAATTACAGTGCCACCACACAGTAACTGTGGTTTGGTTATTCTTAGCTCAGCATTTCCTTGTTATTGAATTTGTTTGCTTATGACCAGTAAGAATGTTTGTATTTCTACCTAAACACTTGCTACTATTGACTTTTGAAATATTTATCCTATGAACTCCCTGCCATACATTTGCAAACTGTTTGTTTTTGGCATTGTATTATTGAAGCCTTTCTGAATTTAATTTAGATTTATGTGGGAAGGTGTGGAACAAATTTGGTTGAACTTGTATACCAATTAGTGCTTATTGAAGTAATAAACTATACTTTATTAATAGCTGTTGGAGCTTTTTGACAGTGAAGATCCACGAGAGCGTGACTTTCTAAAAACAGTACTTCATCGAATTTATGGCAAATTCCTTGGATTAAGAGCATTCATCAGGAAACAAATCAACAATATTTTTCTCAGGTATATGATATACTGTCTACAATCTTACTACCATCTTTGCGTATATTTAATTTGTACTTTGAAAAGTACAGAATTAATAACCTACAGCTTGTTCTTAATGTAATAACATATTTGGGATTAAACTTCTGAAAGGCTTTGGGTAATTAGCTTGCCCTCAACCCTTCCGCAGGACAAATTGGCTTAATTACTTGAGTATTTTTTAGTTCTAAATGTTGTAAATGATTCAGAAGGTTAAAGCATCCTTTTTATGCCTGGATTCTACAGAACCTCTGCGGTTTGAGGCTACTTGTGGGCTGTATGTTATCCCTTTCTGTTCTGGAGGATTGTTGTGATCTACTTTGAATCTTACCCATAATGTAGAATATCTATTTTAAAGCAAATTTCTTACATCAAATGAAAGGTGCATTCTGCTAAGAGTTTTCAGGAAAAATAGTAACCCCTCAACTGTCATGTGGAGAATGTTTTAATATTTAACTGTGTTTTCTTCTTCACTGTTCGGTGAAACTTTAATTGCAATTTTTTCAACAGGTTTATATATGAAACAGAACATTTCAATGGTGTTGCTGAGCTACTTGAGATACTGGGAAGGTAGGTTGATTTATTCATCACAGTCAGGAAGGACCAAGGTTTGCATCAATTGTTTTTTTATGGTTACCAATGGTTACAGTTATCATCACCAACCCAATTGTTATCAGGCCTGCCAAGGGAGTTAAAGATGCTGTAACTGAAATGACCTCTTGGAGTTAATATACTCCTGGGAGGACGAAGAGCAAGAAGATTCCATGTGGACATTGGTACTGGTCTTAGAAAATCAGGCACTTGAATAAATATGCTTCTACAAAACATTAAAGAGATATACTGTGAAGTTCAGATGACTTGCAGAATTGCTATATGGGGACATCATCTACAAATAAACAATTAAAAGTATGTTAGGCAGTATTCAGTATCACAGTATGTGTCCGCAATGAAGGTAGTCCTTGACTTAATAACTGTAACTGAGCCCACAATTATAGTTGTATGCTGAGCCAGTTTTTAACAGGTCATCACATGGTCATCCTGATTTTATGTCTTTTTTTGCAGCAGTCATAAAGGAAGCCCACTGTTTGCAATGGGTGATTTTTGCCAGAAACCAGAAGTAAACTCTGATTTCCTATAAGAAACTAGTACATTGTGGACATGTGGCCATGGGATGTGGCAAATGAATGTAAATGAGGGCTGGTTGCTAAGTGTCCAAAATTCAATCACATGATCGTGTGAGAGGGGGTGGATGCCAGAACATTTAATTTCAGTCATAGTAACTTTTGGGGGGTTATTGTAAGTTCAATCGTTCACTAAGCAACTGGTCCTTAAATGAGAATTGCCTGTAGGACAGGTACTGAGAGTCTGATACCTTCCTTTCCCCTTTTATTTCAAACAGGATTTGATAGATATGACCAGAAAAGAAGGGGAGGAAAGAAAAGGAAATGTTCTATGAGATCCATAAACTGCATGTAATTAATTTTACATTTAATGGAACAATTACAATATTCCTGCAGTTCCAAATGTGTTTTTTTATTTGTAAACTTTTTCATACAGTAAAAGTCTTAGAAATGACCTCAAATTGGTGCAAATTGGAGTACCGAATCTGCTGTGATTTAATTTCAATCCTACTTAAAGCACTTTTTTTTTCAATTGGTGAAATGTGCAGTTGGTGCTCATATAGGGAACCAAACAGCCAAATTAGTGGATACAAACAAGCATCATCTAGGATTTGCTTATTTGTAGTCACTAATTTCAGCAACATGATTGGAAAAGTAACTGGTCCTTACTACCCTGTGGAAAATAGAGCTGGTCTTGTACTATGTTCATAGGAATAGTATTGTTCACAATCTTCAGAATAAAATGTAAAATAAATATCCATTTATTACATGTATTGCTGTACTGTAGTAAGTTTTCATGTTCAATTTGTTTTTCCCCTCTTAGTATTATCAATGGTTTTGCATTGCCACTGAAAGCTGAACATAAACAATTCCTTCTGAAGGTTCTTATTCCCATGCATACTGCAAAGGGATTAGCTTTATTTCATGCACAGGTATGTTGAAATAAAATATTGCATGTTGAAGCTCAAGTAATGTTGCAATTACACCTATTTAATTGCACAAGTTGAGTTTTTTAGGACCAGAGGTCATTATTTAAAGATACATAACTTTAATATATTTCACAGTGGAAAATCAGGATGAATATTTATTTGCACACTGCTAAAGTTTTTATGAACCAATATTGTAAAATAAATACATGTTTTCCTCAACTACTTGTGCTTTTGAATTTATTATCTATTTATTTATTAGTTTATTAGTGATTGTATGTTGTAATTTTAAAAATAGCTTACCTGTATTCTCCTACATGCATAGCTTGAAATCTGCTTCCCAAGGTGTTTGATAGAAGAGTTAAACCGGGTACTAACTAAAAACACTAAATAGTAATTATCTGCCTTCTGAGGGTCATCTGATGATGCATCAGTGTATGGCACTTAAGGAAGTGTTCCTCTTTGTGCTTGACAACTGAGTTTGTGGCATTCACCGTGATCCTGTGTTACATGATGCTTATAAGCGTCTTTATTTTTCAAAACTAAAGATTTAAAATTTTTCAAAACTAAAGATTTAAAAGTTTCCAAAAGAGGCTCAGGGCAGACATAAAACCATACATATGAATGACAGATGACCATTCAAATAATATTTTACAGGTAATCTCTTTTTGAAAATTATGAGAATTTAATAATCCTATAATGAACTATGAATTTTCAAAAACTTTTTTTAAAGCTGGCGTACTGTGTTGTTCAGTTCTTGGAAAAAGATATGGCATTAACAGAGCCGGTAAGCATTGTTGTTTTTGTCTCTCTTTGAACTTTTGCAATATAGCTCAAACTTAGACCTAGCAAATAACAATGATTATCCAAACCTCTGTACCAGTGTGGTTCAGCAACTAGAATTTTCAGCAAGAAATCATAATTCATATGTAGCCTATATAGAACACCCTGTTATTTACAATGTATTAATAGAATACATGTGTCCCAGAAATTAATAGAAGACCCTTGCTTTATTGTCCATGGCAAACTCTGACCAGAATACTGGTATCTTCATTTGTTTGACTTAGAAGTGCTTTGCATCTTAAAGCAAGTCATTTGCTTTCAATTACTGGTTTATGAAATGTGTTTTAATTCTAAAGATGTTTCTAAAACCAGCCTGTTTGTTCCTTGTGCTGTCATACTGAATGTACTTATCCAGTAATATAAATGCAGTAATTACTAGTAAACAGTTTGTTAATATGACAGATATACATTCAAATTTTCAAATTGTTTAAATATATAATTGGACAGCTATTTATCAGAAGTGGCCCCTTACTTTAGAATGCTGATAAAATAATATGTAATAACGGGGTAAGAGGAAAAGCTGAGTATTGTAAATAAATATCATACCAGCAATTTTAGAACAAAGAGTATTTAAATACATCCACAGAAAAGCCTAGTTAAGGAATGATTGAGAAATAGACTTAAATAGGAAAGTGACAGGCGATAGAAATTCTAGAGCAGGGGTCTCTCACCTTTTTGGCGCCAAGGACCGGTTTCATGGAAGACATTTTTCGCACGGACTGAGGGGGTTTGTTGGTTTCGGTTTGCTTACTTGCCTTCTGCTCATGTCCAGCTGTACAATCCGGTTCCTAAAAAGCTAAAAGGGTTGGGGACCCCTGTTCTAGAGAAAATGTAAGGATTTTATTTTTTTAAATGTTACATGCAGGTATTATGTCTGACTGAGCCCTAAAGTGATGTTTTGGTCTGCATTTGTTGTATAAACCTAGTCAGTTATCCTTAAATTCAAGAAATCATTGTTAACCTATGACGGCTTAAAGTAATGAGTGAATCTAGTAATTCATTATGTTACCTCTTGTTTAAAAATGTAAAAAAAAACCTTTTCAATATATTTGGAACAAAATCCATTTTTGAAGATACATCTGTGTCAATACATTGAACAAAATGATTGAACTTAGTAAATCTAAAGGTAGCAATATCATCATTCAAGTATCAGTTTTCGTAGATATGCTCTGATGAATTTTTATTTTTGCAACCCAGGTTATTAGAGGATTGCTGAAATTTTGGCCAAAAATATGCAGCCAGAAAGAGGTAAATTTGGTTATTTTTCTAAAGCATTATACTAAAATCAATTTACTATAGCTCAGCAGGTTTATTCTAGCTGTAATATGGATAATGCATAAAGTCTCCATTTTCATCTTAAGAAAACTATCTTGGCACCCTAAGGCGAGCTTTAAACATGGCCCTTCTTTGGAAGAATCCTGTGGGCTTAGAGTTCTTACTTACCTGTTTGTGATAAGGCAGCATGACAGGTTATTATGCAGAACATGAATATTCTCTTTGTACCTCCTCCCAATGAAACTTCCCAGGCTGATACACTCCAAACTGTGCTTTTGAGGGGAGTTTGCAGAGTTTTCATTCCTTTTCTAGTATGCTGCCTATTTATGGACCTTGAGAAAGGAGAGAAAAACAGACCTGAGCCTTGCATGCAAATTTGAGGGTGGGAGGAAATGTGTCCTGCATATTCTTAAGAAATAAGTATTACATTGTGTTAAATTGGAAATAATTAAATGTTATCTTTTAAATGACTATTGAAATCCTTCTGTAAAAAGATACTTAATGTATTTGTACCTTTTCATATTATATAGTAGTATGTAGTACAGTGTTATGTGTAATAATACATAGAATATATACTGTTCACATTTTGTTTTACAGAATTTTAGTCTTGTTAAGACTTTCTGAATTATATGTTATTTTAAATATAGTTGCTGAAAAATTTGTGTAACAACTGTTCAGCTCTGAATCGCAACCTGAGTATCTGTGTAAACCTGTATTAATTCATATAAAATCCTAGGAATTTTTAATGTGGATAATTTTTAAACCATCCACTAGACTAGACCATCTCAATAGGTGGTTCTAAGAATACCAGATCTGTAGCATTGCTGATATTTAAAAGTTGAGGAATTTGTTGGTAATCTGGGTTGTTTCAGTAATTTGTATAAAATTAAGGATACTTTACTTATTTTAAAAAAAAATCAAGGGCAAATAGAATTAACATAGATTACAGAAAATCCTAGATTTAAAAAAATAAGTCAATTGTCTTTCTGTATGCTAATGATGTTATTATATAAACCTTTCTTGCCTAAATATTTTTTCTTTGTAACAGGTCATGTTTTTAGGTGAAATTGAAGAAATTCTGGATGTAATAGAACCGACACAGTTCAAAAAAATACAAGACCCTCTTTTTAAACAGATAGCAAAGTGTGTGTCAAGTTCACATTTTCAGGTATAACTTGAGATTTTCAATAATTAAACACTGGTACTAGCCAATCTCATTGTCCTGATATTTTAAATGTGTATTTCAGATTGCAGAAAGAGCTCTGTACTTTTGGAATAATGAATATATTCTTGGTCTGATTGAAGAGAACGTTGATACAATTTTGCCAATTATGTTTGGCAATTTATATAAGATCTCCAAAGAACACTGGAATCCGTATGTACTTCTTACTGTTTAATCTTTTAAAATGTCTTTATATATTGCAGATTAGTTTCAGATTTAAATCCTTTTGATTTGTAGGGCACAAACACCATGTTAAAAGAATGCACTTGTGTATATGACAATGCATGAGAAAACAACTGCACAGAACTGCAAGTGCTGAATCATTGATACTGCTACTTGAAAGATGTGTTTAGAAATGATTTATAATATATATTGTCATAAAATCATAAAGTTGCAAGTGACTTCAATTCATCTTGTGTAATCCTCTGCTCAGTACAGGATCCATTAGACCATTTCTGATAGATGACTATCCAATCTATGTTTGACAACCTCCAGTGAAGAAGATTCCCCTTTATGAGGCAATCTGATCGATAGCTCTTCTGATAGGAAATTCCTCCTCATATCTCTTATTTAAATCTACTTCCTTATACTTTCATCCTAAGGTTCTGGTAGTTCCCCAGAAGGCAAAAGAGAAGAGATATCATCTAATGACATATTTCTCCTCGACCTGCTTTTACACATGCTAAATCTATACCATTCTTTTAACCATTCCCCATAGGATTTCATTTCCAGCCCAAATCATCTTGGTACCATCCAGTCAATTTCTTTCAGTTTATGGGTTTCCTTTTTTAGAGTTCAGTGTCCAGGCAGGATAGTGTGGGTGGGATCTCATCAAGGCAAAATAGAGTGGAACAATTACTCTGTCCCATGATCTCTATATTCCTGTGTATACATTCCAAAATAGCATTTGCATTGTCAGCAAATGCATCAAATCATTAACTATTGTTTAATTTAAGTTCTGCTTGAACACCCAGATCCCTTTCATGTTACTACTGTGAAACAGATCTCTCCCTTTGTTTTGCTTGTTTCTTTGTTTTATTTTTCTCCTTAATTTCAGGAGAAATTTTTATTTGGACTACTGTTTAAACCTCTTTAGATTTTTTTTAAAAATCTTCCCTTTCTCTTTTGAAGTTTTAGTTAGTCCTAGTTTTTATGCCATCTGCAGATTTGGTAATCATCCCCCAATTCTGCCCAGTCACTTGGCTGAGTTAGGTAGCCATAGTAATTTAATAAATAAAAAATAAACAAACTCCTTCCAGATCAGTAATAAAAATGTTGGTCCCAAGACAGATTTGTGGCACTCTATATTGTGCTGCTGTCCAACTTGATAAGGAGACATTTATGAATGGCAATTATAAATCCATGCAACATGCCCATATTTTACAGTTTTGTTGAGGATTTCATGAGAGGCTTTGTCAAATGCTTTGCTGGGGTCAAGGTACAACTTTTCAGCCAAAATGCAATAAAATGTTACTTACAGAATATAGTCAAAATTATGACAGCAGCCAACCATTTAAAAATCTATCTAAAACAGTTTAAAAGCTCAGTGTGGTATGTAAACAGGCTTCAAGTCAGTGACTTGGGACTCTTCTCCATGATATCTACTGGCAGAATGGGTTTCTTCTTCTGAGAATGGACATTCTCAGAGTTAAAAATCTGATGCCAGGGAAATCTTCTTAGGAAGGCATTCTATAATCAAAATAATGTTATGTTGAAATTAATCAAATGTTTATTATAAGTCATAAAGGAATTGAGATGTAATGGAAACTTACTCTCAAGGAAATCACTTTACTAGTCAGATAATTTTATCCTTTGATTTTTCATTTATTGCCAAGCAAATTTTGTTGAAATACTAAATATAGGAGGCCCTTATGAATATATTTTTGCATTTTGTACTTTTGTTAGATTTGGCCAGCACCCTTTACAGTTCACTTGACTTTGATTTATATTGGATTGTAACTTTGCTGCTATTTATTATGACAATAATTCAATCACACTGTTGCTTTAAATTTGAGTGAAGACAAACAAGTCTAATGTCCATGCTTCGAGTTTGCAGACCCCATCATTTCAAAAATAAGTACAATTGTTTCTTTTATGTGAAATGGTGACAAAATTAAAGCAGAAGCTAAATAATCAGACTAGATGATAGAATGTATCTCTTAACAATATTTTTGTAACTTACCCTGTTCTAGGACCATTTTAGCATTAGTATATAATGTGCTGAAAACACTGATGGAGATGAATGGGAAACTATTTGATGAACTCACAAGCACTTACAAAGCAGAAAGACAAAGGTACACTTTTCCAATGTGTTTACAAACATGTGCCTGAAACAGTCTTACAGATTAATGTTGATTTGACATTAAAATAAAAACAATAGTTTTGTAAATGAATGATCTCTTCCTACTATTCACATTAACAATGTTTATCCATTTCTTCTCAATAAATGCATTCCTTCCTTAAGCCCATTTCTCTTAAGGGGCCTTGCTTAGCATACTTACTTGTACCTAGCACCTCTTCCTGCTTCACAGCCAGTCCTTTCCTTTTCACTTTTATTTTTTGCAAGGATTTATGCTTATGAGATTTTCTGATTAAGGGCTGTTGCAGTTTTTCTCTTTCCATGTAGTAAGGTACAAATTCTTTCTTTTTACTAACCCACTGATCATTGTAAAGCCGCCTAGCATTTGGCATCTTACCAACTCTATGTTGAGATATAAGCCTGCACATCCATATAAGATGTTTGTATCAGCAAAAGCTTTGGGACATCTCTGGCTGCTATTAGTGGGGTAATTAGCAGTCACATGGGACACAATCTTTCCCATGCCTTCATGCTTCAGCATTTTTTTCTGTTGAGATTTTGTTGCTCTGTATGGCAATGTGCTTCTCTTAATTTATTTTCACATATATACAGGTGGGCTTCTGTTATGCGCATGGAAGGAAATGTTAGTAAAGAAATAGTCCAAATAGTAATACAGAGCTGGATCTTTTCTGCACTGGAGCTCCACTCCAAATTGTTTGAGAAGCTGTACTCATCTAGTTTAATAGATGACTTACCAAATCCCTTATTAATTAAAGGAGAAAAGACACATTTAGGGTTGTGCTAGTAGAACTATAATTTACTAGGTTCCTACCAATCGGTCTTCACTTCCAGGAAGAAATGAAATACATTCTCCTGGAGATGTTTCCCTGCTGGGGAAACTGGAGCACTACGTAATGGAGATGCTAGAGGAGTGTTTCTGAACCTCAGCTAATATGTGTGGATTTTAACTCTCATAATTCCTACAGATGATAGCCTGGTATAGGCTGTCAATCTGATCAGCCCTGATCTCAAGATACTTTGGTTAAAAACTGATACGTTAAATTAAGGGGCATCTTTAAAAGGTTTTCAATGTATTCAGAGTATCTTTTTAAAAACCTTCATGTTTTACTTCCTATTGGAATAAAAATCTCAGTGTGGTTAGCATAGAGTTCTATAATGCTATGAATTAAAGGCAAAAATATGCTGCGGAACGTATAGGAGGCATGCATGTAGTCTTGTCTGTAATTCCTTAAACACACCTGTTCTTGGAATCATAGTATAGCTGGATGTTCCTAAGAGGAGATACAGCTCGAGGTAGATCTTACTGACTGCCTTATGGAGTGACCATTCAAAGTACTGAAAAAAAAAAAACAATTTTGCAACCATTTAGTTACTTTTAAAAGGTTTTTCTCAGTCAATTCTTATACATTGTCCTGACATTGACCCTTTTTTCACATCCAAGTGGCTGTTGAAGAGGAAGGGGATTACAAGAGATCAGGCACAGAAAGGGGAATACACACTGAATAGAA